ACCTTCGGGCTCTGAGCGTAAAGCTTGGGCAGCAAGGCAGCAAGGGCCGCCAGAAGTCCCATGCTGCTTGACCCCCTGAACTCGACGCGCCGTGCAGGTTGATTCGACTCAACCAAGAAAGGGCGAAAGGGCGAAAGGGCGAAAGTGCAGTTGAAGCGGTAGCCAGATGGTTTGGAGAGATTTTTTGGAGCTCAGTGGTAAGCATGGCACCTTACACTCGATGCTGGTGCCTCGTCAGGCCAGGACTCTGACTTCAGGCGCGTGACTTGGTCGGCCTTGCATGTGTGCTGCGCGCGTGCGGATGTGCCGGCCTGAAGCCGTGAGGGCTGTCCCTGCAGATCCATTAAACTCTCGGCTTCCACACAGCTGGCTTCGGCTGGAGATGCCGAGATCTGGATGAGGGTCTTTGGGTGCCACTTGGAAAGGTTCGCAAACCAATGGCCCTCGGCCTTTCACGGGGCCACGTTGGCTGCACAGGTGCCCCTCGTCACTTTTGCGATCCATTCCGATTCGCCGGCAGTCTGTGGGAGTTGGGAAGTCGTTTGCAGCCGCGCCGTTCAGCCTTCCGAGCTCTAAGGCTCGAAGCTTCAACGTGCACTAGTGCGAGGTGTCCGCCGAACTCGCTCCATGTGTGCTGCATTCCCATACTCCAAGAACCGTTGCAAAGTAGTGCTTCCCCTAAACCCTAAACCCTAAACCCTAAACCCTAAACCCTAAACCCTAAACCCTAAACCCTAAACCCTAAACCCTAAACCCTAAACCCTAAACCCTAAACCCTAAACCCCTGCTTCCCCATCCATACGCAGGCCACTGTGCTGTAGGCACAGGTCATCAGCGGCTGTCTTTTGGCACAGGCTTGTGACAGGCCCCGCGTGCGCAGACGCTTCCTTCACTGCTTGTTGGTCGGGCTTGAGCCTGCCATTTTCGTTTTCAGCTTAGATCCAGAATCTCAGACCATGCCGGATTGCTATCTTCGAGAGGTAACTTCGATTCTATGCGCCGCGGCAGCTTCCCGATCTTTGTGTCGGATGATGCTTTTTACCAAAATCTGCGAGCCTGCCAGGGCATCCTTGCATGTTCTTGAGACAAAGTTCGGGACAGCCAGCCGAAATGTGCCCAAGTGGGTCTTGAGCCGGAATCTTGTGATACGCCAGATGGACGGAGATCAGAACTAGTGCTGTCAGGTTGCACCGAGGCCCCGGAAGCAGCCCCGCCACGTTCGGCTTCCGGCTTTGACCGCGCCAGCTCGCCTGGCATCGTTGGGCCTGGTGAGTGCTCGTTGCGGCCGCGAGCTGGCGGTTATGGGCACATGGGGTTCGTTCTAGATTGGGATCTCCCTCGCGCATAATTCTATACTTATGGTTCGGAACAACCCCCCACATCCTTGGGTCCCAGGGTTTGGTGAGGACTGTGCTGTAGACTTCCTTCAGAGGGCTTAAAGCTGGTGGGATGGAGAGCCCAGCCACTTGAACGCCTGCCAGGACGAAGGCGGTCACCGTCTGCCTCAAATTTAGCTGGGATAACCCATGATGTCTGGACACCGGAACGCGAGGAACGGTGAGGGGTCGGGTGCGTGGCATGACGGGCCACACCCTACGAAGGCATAGGGCAAAATGGGCAAAAGTAGTTCTCGTCTGAGTCGGCTACTCCGTTGCTGGTCGACCTTCCACTACGGCTCGGCTGGGCCCTGCGCGGGTGCTGCCGTGCCGGCCGCAAGCTATGAGGGCTGTCCCTGCAGCTCCATTCAACTCTCGGCTTCCGCACCGCTGGCTTCGAATGGCAGTGGAGCTGCCGAGATCTAGAGGAGGATCTCGGGGTGCCCCTTGGAAAGGTCCGCAAGCCAATGGCCCTGGGCCTTTCACGGGGCCACGTTGGCCGCACAGGTGCCCCTCGTTGCTTTTGCCATTCATTCCGACTCGCCGGCAGTCTGTTGGGAAGTCGTTTGCAGCCCTGCGTTCAGCCTTCCGAGCTTTAAGCTTAATTCACCCTGGTGCAAGGTGTCCGGCGAAGTGTTTCCATGTGGGCTGTATTCCCATACTCCAAGGGCCCTAGCGTTTTGCAAAGCGGTGCTTTACCTGGATTGCTTTGCGGCATGTCAGCCATGCACAGGCCCCTGTGCCGAAGGCACAGGACATCGGCGGCTGTCTTTCGGCTCAGGCTTGTGACAGTCCCTGCGTGTGCAGACACTTCATTTACTGGTTGCTGGTTGACCCTGCGTAACGTGTTCTCAGCTTAGATCCAGAATCTCTCAATCTCAGACATCTTGCAACCCTGATCAGACAGATGAGTTTTGGACAAATCTTTGCACCGTGACAGCTTCCCGATGTTTGCACTGGACTTTGCGTTTTACCAGCATCTGCGAGCCTGCCAGGGCATCCTGGCACGGTCTTGCTTCAACCTTCGACGACATGCTTGGAGAGGTGAACGCCACATGTCCAAGCTTCTGGTGGCTTTTGAGCCAGAATCTTGTGCCACGCCAGATGGACGGAGATCAGAACTAGTGCTGTCAAGCTGTGCTGCGATCTCCATGCCCTGCTTCTGGCAACCAGACAACAAATGCTCAGTATGCACGACCCCTTGCACTAGGCACTCTTGGAGCGAGGTGCAAGGTCTGAAAGACCTGAACTCCTCCGAGCAAAGTGGAACACTAGTGGAAAGAGGGCCCACTGGCGGTTCCCCCCTGTGCCAGGTGACCCTTAACCCATCAAAATCCTCGGAAACCTTAGCGACTTGCGGCAGGAGTTGACCAGCCGTTTGCGGCCCTATGTCCAGCCTTCCGAACTGTTAGCTTGATGGGGTTCCGAAAATTGGGGAACCTATTTTGGGGCTCCCATCAAACGGATGAGCGCATTCTTGGGTGCATAAGGGGTACCCCTATTTTGAAACCTCCATATTCCGATGCTGTCGGTTTGTCCACACAGCGCTTCGAAATGCCATGCTAGTCACTTCCCTCGGATGCGTGTGAGTGCATTCGTGCTCCGTAGTTTCGGTTTAGAGTGTTGGGTTGGTCCGGGGCATTGCTGGATGAACCTGGAACCTCATTCAGGCCTATCTTTGGAGTGGCCGTTTGCGGTGAGCTTGAAGCTCGGACGTCCGGGAGCCTCGCGAGCGCTGCCCACTGGACAAAACTAAACCCTAAACCCTAAACCCTAAACCCTGAACCCTGCCCGATGATCCGGATTTTCAGAGCTGCACCTGTCCTTCCCAAAAGCCTTGGGTTTTGGGGTTTAGGGTTTAGGGGTTTAGGGTTTAGGGTTTGGGGTTTAGGGTTTCGAAGAGCACTGAAATGAAGGGGGAACCCCGGACAGGTTGGGCGCAGAGCAAACGGGCTCCGAAGGCATCCGAGTTCTGGGCCTCAAAGGCCATCTCACTGAGAGCCCTAAGAACCGCAAGCTCTTAAACCCTAAAACCCTAAAACCTGACAGGCAAGAGGCCCTAAAGCCACGCCTGCGGCGTCTTAGCATTCACGGTGCCCCTGCGGCTGTGCCGAGTGAGATAAACTGCAAGAGGTGCTTGTAACCCTAAACTACACCCTAAACCTGAAGCCCTAAACCCGACGTACGGTTTCCCCTCGCAGGTGCATCCCCTTGGGTCGTGATGACCCCGGTCATGCCGAACCCAACGCCCGGACGCCCCCAGATGCAGCTTGGCCCGCGCCGCCCGCCGTGCGCGCGGCGGCGGCGACGCCGGCTCCGGAGGCCTTGGCCTCCCCCCAAAATGTGAGAAATCCCAGGGCCTTTCAGCCCCAGAGCTTCGCGCCTACGATGCCACCGTAATTTCTGGCCTGCAGTGAGAAGATACGTCTGCATTCTTGGAGGGACGAGATGAGCTGTACAGCCCTAAGCCCTAAGCCCTAAGCCCAACCGAACCCCGAAACCCTTCTTGACATGCATGGGGCCTTCTGCAGGGGCTTGGGAGTGTGAAGGTTCGTATACTTGAAATTTCGCAGAGACAGAGCTCATCTTCGTTGCCTTTAGACCCTAAACCCTAAACCTTGGTGCCATTGTGCGCATGCATGCTGGTTTGCGATATGCTCGCTGACCCACAGACTGTCAGCTGCACAAACTTTGCGATGCCTGAGGCTCCTCGGCACTGCAGTCGATGATGATGCAGATTCTGCATCTACCCGACTATGCCATTCACTTCTGAGTCCTGCTAGGCTCATTGAGCCTGCAATTGCAGTTTCGTGAGCCAAACCCTCAACCCTGAACCTTCGAGCTTCAAGTTGCGCTGTGAGCGACCTGTGTCATGGCCTGGGACTTGCATGGCAAGAAGAGCCCCAGTCCCAGCGTGCCCCCGCATGCCGCAAGTCAGACGAGCGTCTTGGGGTCTGAATCATCTTTTCAGCTCACAGAGGTTCACGGTTCAGGGTTCCGGGGGAGATTTCTGGCCTTCGGCCAGTACTAAAGTCCTTGAGCACTTCGGGAGTGACTGCTTGAGTTCATCCCAGAGAGGTGCAGCCTGATAATGATCCGCACTTCCGCCATGTCTGACCGGCGGACCACAGATGCCAGGAAAAAGGGTCAGACTCCACCTCGCACCCTGAAGCTGTAAAACCCTAGCTACAACATACCGAGGCGCGCTGAGAGGTTTTTTTGGTGGAGGCCAGGCAGCTTTTGAGGATTTGATGGGGTTGCTCTGGAGATTTCTTTTTCTTGGTGTCCTTTTCCACAGGCTTCCTTTTGTGTTGAAAGGTACCCAAAAGGGGATCCCGATTGTGAATACCCTTCCGCAGCACATTTCGGCTTCAGCTTTCGCACGTGGGGAGGATGCACATGCTGCTCCCTAGCCACATCACACAATCAAAGCCTCCCCAACCCCCCTCAACCCCCAACCCCCCAACCCCCCAACCCCTAGCCCCAACCCCCAACGTCCAACTCCCAAACCCCAAACCCATAACTCCCAAACCCCAAACCCCCAACCTCCAACTCCCAAACCCCAAACCCATAACCCCAAACCCTAAACCCCAAACCCCAAACCTAAGACCTGGGCACCTGGTCATGGCGGCACTGGTCTGGCAGTCTTGCCTGCTCCTCCTGGCGGTGGAGCGCGCCCGGGGCGACTCATCCCGCGCCCCCTGCGTCCATGACCTGGGCTCAGCACGGCAGTCATGGACCTTGTGCCTACACTGAACTTGGAACCCTAGCAAAAATCATAACTTTAGCTGTTTGTTACAATTACAGTACCCAAAAGTTAAAGATGTTCCCAAGAATCGCTGAGGTGCTGGCCGGCACTGCAATATGGCGGCTGCCACAGCAACAGCAGCAAGGGGGTGCGGGCCAGGGTTCCGGGGACCGTGTTGGCAAGCATGCTGGAATCCAACTTCTCGGGTTTGGACCCCTATGTGGGTATGAACTTGCAGCAGCTGCCCGACATCCACCAGGTAGGGCCTGCTTTCTACAGGGTGCGGTACCGCACCAAGGTTGCGCCTGCCTCATGTGGCCATCCCTTCAGGACCCTCATCCTGAGAGGAGCGAGCTATGAGTCCCGCGTCTTCGTGGATGGGGTGGAGCGTGCCAATGTGACGGGCATGTTTCGCCGCCTCCGTGTCCCGGTGCCTTCGCATGGCTTTGACCTGGAGGTCGAAACGTCGCCTCCCCCACACTTTGGTGTCAACGTCAGCGGGCAGGGTGGAGACCACCAGCTTGCAAAGGATGGGCCTTTGGCGCAGTTTGCTCTGGGTTGGGATTGGGTGCAGGCAACACCCGACAGGAACACCGGCTTGTGGGACAAGGTCGAGGTGATGGAGCACAGCAGCCAGTTGGTAGAAGATCTCTATGTACGCACTGCGCTGTTGCAGCGTGGCGCAGGGCACGATGCGCTCTTGACAGTGGAGGCTCACAAGGGCCCCTGTGGCCTGAAATGGAGGGTTCGGCACCACGCGAACCGCTCTCTAGATGCTGAAGCTAGGTAGGCCCTTGGTATATATCTTATATTAACCCTTATTGGGTTTAAAAGAGGATCCTATTGAGGAATATCTTTCAGAGGGCTTTAAGGGCCATCCTAGGAAGGAACCTTGGCTGTCCCACACTGCCCTGGCAGCTCGGCCAAGCTTGAGGAGGCCAAGTTGTGGTGGCCATGGCAGTTTGGGGACCCGTATCTGTACGAGGTTGAGATCCTTGATGGCGACTGCGCGATCCTGCGACAGCCGTTTGGCGTCCGCCACTCGGAGGTCTTCTATGAGCCACGCACGGATGGGCCGGCATTCCGAATCAACGGGGTTCGCATCTTCTTAGCCGGAGTCAACTGGATTACGACAGACCAGCTTCTTCGTTTCTCCACGAACTCGCAGCGCTACGAGGACGAGGTGCGTCTCATGCGCACAGCCGGAGCAAACGTCATACGTGTGTGGGGCGGCGGCATCGCCGAGCGTCCGGAATTCTACCGTGCTTGCGACCGTCTCGGGATGCTCGTGTATCAGGAGTTCTGGATGACAGGGGACAACAACGGGGCGCAAGCTGGCAGCTTCTCGTGGCCCCTGGACCACCAGGTGGCGTTCCGAAGCCTAAGTGACCTGAACAGCCTTCTATTTGAAGCCTGGTACATCACGGGCCCCCAAAACCACACACCACCCCGCATGTGGAGGTCTTCGTGGACAACGTGCAAGACACCATCCTCCTCCTGCGGGGGCATCCGAGCCTCTTCTGGTGGGGTGGGGGGAACGAGCTCTGGCCCTCGGACCGAAGTCCTCCCATGGACATCAGCCGTGCCGAGCGAGGCTTGGTGGAGGCCTTTCGGCCGCATCCCGGAATCCAATCCCTCAACCCTAAACCCAACTCCGATTCCTGATTTCCTAAACCCCAAAACCTCCAGAAACCGCAGCCTTCCCGAGCTGAAGCGAAACCATTTCTGGTTCTCGATGCTTGTGGAGGTTCGAAACTTTGAGAGCCTAGGCGTTGGATGGCTCCCGACCCTACATTCAGACGTCTTCGCTCCTGCAGCAGATGCAGTCGTATGACCCCAAGAACGTCACCGCAGCCCTGTCGGTGGACGACGGGCCCTACGGCTCCCAGGTCCCCGGCGAGTTCTTCCAGCGAAACCCCTACCTCCGCTTCCAGAGATATCCGAACCGCACGGGCTTGGAGCCCTTTCCGCTGTCCATCAACCCGGAGCTGGGAGGCCCCAACTTCCCCACTTTCGCCGGCCTCCGCCGCTTCATCCGCACCCGGCAGGTGCCTGGGCGCCTGGGAAGCCCTCAGCCGGCGGAGTTCGCCTGGCACAACTTCGAAGCTTTCGTGGTGAACACGTCCTTGGGGAGGCCGGGCTTAGCCAACGGAACTCTGGTGGACCCCATCTACGACCTCTGGCCGAGGGTCAGCCCCATGGATCAGAAGACCTATGCCGACCGAGCCAGCGTCGTACAGTATGTCCAGTATCGCTCCTTGTTCGAGGGCTACTTGCAGCATCAGTGGTCCTGGTATGCAGGGCTCCTGTTGTGGAAAGGTCAGACGCCCTGGCCGTCCCTACGTGGTTTCCTCTACGACTGGTATCTTGAGGCAAACAGTGCACACCAGGGTATGGCAGCAGCCCTCCAGCACACGGATCACGTCTTGGTGTCTCTGGAGCCCTGCACCTTGGGCGCCGCAAACGTCTACCGGGTCAACCGGGGCATGGAGGATGCGCCGGAGACCGAGGTGGCCCTCACGTTCTTCTCGCTCCCCCAAGGGGAGGTCTTAGGCACGTCGCGCTTTCAGGCGCCTTTGGTTGAGCCGGAGGCCGTCGCGCTGGTGGGCCACGCGAGGTGGCCGCGGCGCGATGGCGCGCTGCTGCTTCGAGTGCATCACAATGGCCACGTTCTGGAGCACTTGCTCCTTGAAGGACGAAATGAACCCTAAAATTGGGATCATATACCCTATACTACCATAATCCCTATGAGGGTATATGGGGTCCCTGAACCCTTTTAGGGCTCTTTTTGGCCCCCAAGGCTCTCGGATCCTTGCAACGGCGATGCCCTGCTTCCTGCCATGGACTACGGCAACCTCGAGCCGACGCCCACGACGCTGCGGGCGAGGGCTTGGGGAGCTTTTGAGGTGCGGGTTGGGATGTTCCCCCCTTACACGAATAGTCCTTGATAGGGATTATCATTGGGGGGTACGAGAATCCCTATGAAGGCCTGTTATAGTATACTAACAGTCCCCAATAGGGATTCTATTGGGGGGTACGAGAATCCCGATTAAGGGCTGTTAGCATAGGGAGAAACATCGCAAGGTGAGGGTCACAAACGTCGGCGCTTTTGCTGCTCTTCTGGTGCACCCGCGGCTCTGGAACGGCACGGAGGAGGTGGGCCCTGGAACCGAAAAGCACGGAAGTTTAAGCCAACACAGGAACATCCCCCCTACCTTAAATCCGTGAAGCTCTAAACCAACCACCTGGTGCAAAGCACAAATCTCCAAGCGCTTAAACCCCAAACCCGTACAAACCCTAAACCTTGTAAACCCCGAAACTAACCTGAAACCCTAAACCCTAATCCTAAACCCTCAGCCCTAAACTCTAGGTCCTCCCGGTTTGGTGGAACGCAGACTACTTCAACCTGCTCCCCGGGGAGATGCGAAGGCGCCTCTGCAGTGGGGCTTTCTGGGTTCGGGGCAGTTTAGGGCTTAGGGTTTAGGGCTTAGGGTTTAGGGTTTAGGGTTTAGGGCTTAGGGCTTAGGGCAAGCCTATGTATCTTTCCAGGCTGCAGGCTGATCTTTGATCTTGCGACTTCGTAGAGTTGGGTTGGGGTTCAGCAAAGCCCTAAACTAATAGACGTCGAACACTCAAGATAAGCCCCTACGCCCCGAAACTCCAAACACGCCACCCTAAACCCTAAACCCTAAGCCCTAAGCTCTAAACTCTTTTCCCTAAACCCTAATTACACCCTACACCCTAAACCCTAAATCCTAACCCTAAACCTTATACACCCAGCCCAAAGACCCGTGTCAGCCGGAACCATTCATGAGGATCACATGGACCGGTCCCGTCGGTAGCGACGTGACGTTCTCCGGCTTCAATGTCCGCGAGCCCGAAGAGGCCCTCGTGATTTAGGGTTTAGGGTTTAGGGCTAGTGCTTTAGGGTTAAGGATTTAGGATTTAGGGTTTAGGGTAGGGGTTTAGTAGGGTTTTCGGTTTCTAGTTCCTGGTTATGTTTTTATCGTTGAGGGTGGGGCCATGACTTGGAGGGTTTAGGGATTGATGGGTGCATGACAGACTGGACATGGCTCCTGAGGGCCCAACACCGCAGCCTGCGAGCGAAAAGAGTCTGCAGGGTACTTCTGGGTTTGTTTTTTTCGGGTCTCTGTCTCTTTGAGTCTTGCGTGCCCCCATAGTTTTGATCCCAACCTCAGCCCATGTAGAGATTGGGTTTAAGGGTTTAGGGCTTAGGTTGATGGGCTGTGGGCTCGTGCCAAAGGTTCCTCTTGAAAGATCTGAGCTGCCCGTTCAGGTGTTGCACTCAACCTTAGTGTGACAAGAATTCTACTCCTCCTCAACCCCCAACGCATGTTTGCGCAAGACAGCTTGTCATTGGCCCAATCCAGGAGTTGTTTGGGGCATGGTTGCAAGTAGGGCCCTCCTTACTCTACTAACTTTGGTTAAGGGAGCTATTTTGGGCCCTTATATTAGGCCTACTTATAACTTTTGGCCCTACTTGTGCGTGCATGCAGGTAGCCCCCTCGCTTGATACATCGTCGAGTTTATGCATGGGTTCCCCTACTACCCCCCTCTATACTACCCCCTAGGTTCCCCTGAAATAACTTTGATTGGGCTTAATTATCCTTAAAAAGCCATAATCATGGCGGGAACCTAGGGGGGGTAGTCTTGAGGGGGGTAGTAGGGGAACCCATGGTATATGCGGGCTCATGTGCCTTCGGTAGGCATAGTTCTCGGAGATGGCAAGCTACCTTGTTGTACTCAAGCGACTTAAGGAGGGACCCTGACACGGGACCTTAGGGGTTATTTAGGGTTATCTAGGGGCTACGTAGGTTTTTAGGGACTATATAAGGAATGGATGGATTTGTAGGGGAATAGTCCCTTCTAGGGGTCAATCCTGATAATACCCCTGAATGTACCACTGTGTGGAATGTGTCGGTGGATAGGACACTTTGCTTTGAGGACAAGAGTCCCAGCAGGGATCTAGGGCCACAGAACGATTCTCCATGACTTGGCCCTTTTGTGGTTAGCCTTGCGAACAGGTGCAGCTTCAAGTCTTTATACCCGGACCCTGAGGTACCTTGAATAAGACAACTCCTTAATCAACTCAGAACCCCACTATAATTCATGAGCTGTTCGTCGTGGATAAGGGTTATGGGAGTTTCTGGGTAGCATTCAAGACAGGAAACTAAACTTTGTACAGCTTCCAATATGGCCTCGCAGCCGATGGTCATAGATCTGGATGACGACGAGATCGAGGAAGTTTGCGTGTCTTCTCGGGGCAAGGCATGGGAGTTTGAGGTTCCGACCTTGAAGGACAAGGTTGGTACTTGCCTCCTGGCCCCTACCTCTCATCCCTTAAGCCCTAAGCCCTAAACCGTCACCCTGAACCCTAAACCCCAAACCCCAAACCGGACGCTGTGAAGGCCTCCGCTTTTATCTCAAACGCGAAGGCCCTACATCTTAAGCTCCTTATCCCTTAAACCCCTTGAGCCCTAAACCCCTTTAGAGTTTGAGGTTTTGGGGTTTTAGGGTTTGGGGTGCAGGATTTAGGGTTTGGGGTTTTGGGGTTTGGGGGTTAGGGTTGGGCTTCGGGGACGACATGAACTGCGGCATAGGGCCGTGGGCTTCGCTGACCCCGGCTTGGATTTAGAAAGCAGAGGCCCCCGTTGAAGACTCCTGTATATGGCATTTCCCAACATACCCGCTGAGTGCCGACAACCCCTTGCCTAAGGACTCCGAAAATAGGTAGATTTTCGGTTTGGGACAACGGACTTTTTTTGACCGAGTTTAGGATTATCAGAGATATGGCTTTAGGGTGGCTTTGGGGTTGGGTGGTTAGGGTTGATTGAAAGGTTCAGGGCGTTTAGGAGTTCTGGGCAAGAGTCTCCAGGTGTTTGGTGTTGAGGTTTTGCACACTTGATGATATGAGCCAGAGTTATTCAGGGAGGCCGCACAGTTCTCAGAAAGCAGCCCTAAAACCTAAACCCTTAACCCTTAACCCTGAACCCCTAAACCCCAAAGCGAGCTTCGCAAGCAGTGAAGGAGCAGCGTCGACGTGCGTTAGGCTTTGAGCTTAAGCTTCCAAAGCCCAAGGCCCAGAAAATCCAAGCCCTCAACCCCCAGAAAGCCCGAAAAAATGGCCCTCAACCTTAAGCCCTCAACCCTCAACCCTGAACCCCAAACCCTCAACCCTAAACCCTCAACATTTCCCCTAAACCTTCACCCCACACACTCAGTCGGACCTCCCAACCCCGAGTTGAACCCCAAACCCGAAACCCGAAACCCTAAACCCTAAACCCTAAACCCTAAACCCAGAACCCTGAACCCTGAACCCTGAACCCCTGAACCCCTGAACCCCTGAACCCTGAACCCTAAACCCCACAACCCTAAACCCTAAACCTTAGTGATTGCCAGGACTTTCCGAGTGCGCTGCCGCCCTTACCGGCAGCGGCACCTGTGATCGCCCCGGTCGTGCCACCGGCGATCACCCCAGAACAGCGGCGGCGGGTGCCAAGGCCACCCGCTTTAGGGTTTAGGGTTAGGATTTACAGCTGGGCTGGCGGTTTTAGAGGTTTGGGGTTTGGGGGTGCTCAGGGGCTCCCAACTAGCCCCTACCCATAGGAGAAAGTATTGGTGCTTGTGGTGTGCGAAATTTAGTTTTTCCAAGAGGCGTAAGATTGAGGCCCTTTTGTAGTCCTAAAACAAACCTTTGCCACTGGCGATTTTCAGGGCTGTATATTTGTCATACAAGTTGAAGTGTATCTTCGGAATAGCCTCATTGTTTTTCGCTCTGCCGTCAATCTACCAAGCGAACAAATTTGGCGAAAACGCGGCTCACGGTAATGCTGCACTTTGAAGGCTTTTTTCGTGATGTAAAGTGGACGTGCTAAATCCGCGGCCCCCGCCGCTCGTTTTCTTGGCAGTTTGCACGGAGCCAAACGTCATCCACAACCCCCCCCCCCCTCCCAAAAAAAAAACAAAAAAAGAACTCTTAAACCCTAAGCTCTCAGCCCTCAAGCCTCAACCCCCCTCAATCCCCCACTCCCCCCCTCCAAAAGTGCCAGTTTGGAGCTGACGCCGCCCAAGCCAAACCTGCGCCGCACCCCCGAGGTTGGCACCGCGCTGGGGGTTAGCTTGTGGATGTCTCTGTTTGGGCTAAAACACCGCCGGGTTTCGAAGGGTTGAGGCTTGTCGGTTTAGGGCTTGGGGTTTAGGGTTTAGGGTTTCGGGTTTAGGGTTCAGGGGTTCGTGTTCGGCCATACCCCCACTGCCTTCCTTGGTCTTTTGCTCTTGTACATGTTCACTACGTCTGAGGCGAGGTATGTCATTCTGGGCTGCTGAGGGTGCTTGCGTGTGCACCTAGCATTGGAGATTTTTTTCGCTCCGTGAAAACCAGAGTTTAGGTTTAGGGTTTAGGGTTTTGGGCTTAGGGCTTAGGGCTCAGGGCTTAGGGCTTAGGGGGCCCAGAGTGATTTACATTGCTCCTAGTTTTTGGGTTGCATCCCCCAAACGCACCCTAAGCCGCGCTGTGCCCTCAGCTTTTGTCCAGGAGCCTTCGGCTTTGAAACTTCTCAGTGTAACATAGGACAATGAGCATGCTTTTGGTTCGTTTGAGAGGGCCACGCACAACTTGCCTTCATTACTCCTCCCCTACCCACCCAACCCCCTCCCCCAAAGCTGCTCGGTACCTCCCCCCCCCCCCTGCCCCAACACAGCAAGAAACAATATCAATGCGACAGCCTCTGCTCGATCCGCCTCCCCAAGCCTTGAACACACTCCTCGTCGGTGGCTCTCGAGGGCTCGGACACTGTCGGATTGCTGGTCCTAACGGGGCCGAACTTGTACCGCCCCCAAAACCCTAAACCATAAAATATAAACCCTAAAAACTAAACCCTAAACCCTAAACCCTACACCCTACACCCTAAACCCTAAACCCTAAACCCTAAACCCTAAACCCTAAACCCTAAACCCTAAACCCTAAACCCTAAACCCTAAACCCTAAACCCGAGCACACTCAACCGTGATAGGTGCCAGCCTCCACAGCCAGTGCCAGCTCGAAGAGGCCACGGACAGAGGCGGAGGCCAGCCCTAACTTAGGGTTTAGGGTTTAGGGTTTTGGGTTTAGGGTTTGGGGTTTAGGGTTTAGGGTTCAGGCTTAGATGCCAGCAAACCCTAAACTCTAAAACCTACATCCCAGCCCGGTTCAGGGTTTAGGGTGTAGGGTTGAGGGCTTAGGGTTTAGGGCTTAGGGTTTAGGGTCCAGGGTTTAGGTTTGGGGTTTAGGGTTTAGGGTCCAGGGTTTAGGGTTTAGGGTTTAGGGTCACGGAATGCAGATGCCCCTGCTTAACTTCCCCAAACATGTGGCACGTGACATGGGGCCCTCGCTTCTCCAGGGCTTGGGGGTCCCAAAAACCCGAAAGCCCCAAAACCCTAAAACCCAAAACCCTAGGGTTCAGTTTAGGGTTTAGGGTTTAGGGTTTAGGGTTTAGGGTTTAGGGTTTAGGGTTTAGGGTTTAGGGTTTAGGGTTTAGGGTTTAGGGTTTAGGAACTTGAGGTTCAGGGCGCTCCGGTGATTTAGGGATCTCTTGGGGGGTTGGGCTATGGCTTGCGCTCTTCTGGGGTTGAGGCGCCAGAGGCTCCTTGTTTAGGGGCCTCGGACCATTGCAGGGCGCTTGTCCTTAGGGTGTTTACATGGTCCCTTCGTATGGGCCCTTATATACCCCTTTGTTTCCCCGTAAAACCCAAGGGCCCATACTTCAGAACCCTTCAAAGAAGACAAGGGACCATATGAAGGGACCATGTACCCTAAACCCTAAAACCCTAAAGCCCTAACACCCTAAACCCTAAACCCTAAACCCTAAGCCCTGAACCCTAAACCCTAAACCCTGAACCCT